GCTGCAGCAGGCAAAGGAAGCAGCAGCAGCTGCTGCTGCTGCAGCAGCAGAAGCAGAAGGAAGAAAAGCAGCAGCTGCTGCTAAGGCCAAGCAAGCAAGAGCAGCAGCTGCGGCTGCTGCGCAGCAGGCTGAAGAAGCAGCTGCAGCAAAAGCTGCTGCTGCAGAAACCGCAGCAGCAGCAGCAGCAGCCGAAGCTGCAGCGAAAGAAGAGGCAATCGAACGCAGGGCAGCAGCAGCTGCTGCTGCTACTGCTGCTAGTGAGGCCCACAGAGAGCTGCAGCAGCTGCAGCAGCGGCGCGAGGAGGCAGCAGCAGCAGAAGCTGCAGCAGCAGCTGCTGCTGCTGAAAGGCAAAAGGAGGCAGCAGAAGCAGCAGCAGCAGCTGCTGCTGCAAGGGAAGAAGCACTAATGCGAAGGACTCAAGCTATTGCAGCACTGGAAGCAGCAGCAGCACACCGCTCGCGCGCAGCAGACCTTAGAGGTGCGGCAGCAGCAGCAGCAGCAGCAGCAGCAGCAGCAGCAGCAACAGCGGAAACAGCAGCAACAGAAACATCTGTACGTGTCAGTTAATCTTCAGCACGTTGTTTCTCAGTTTTTTAGGGGGCCCCCTAGGCTGGAGGGGGCCCCCCTTCACTGAACTTCAGGGGGCCCCCTTAGCTTGCGGGGGGCCCCCCTAGGCTCAAGGGGGGCCCCCCTAAGGGGGCCTCTTTAGGCTCAAGGGGGGCCCCCCGGCTGAAAGGGGCCCCCCTTTATTTAAGGGGGGGCCCCCGTAGGCTCAAGGGGGCCCCCCTAGGCTCAAAGGGGGCCCGCCTAGGGGGCCCCCCTAGGCTGAAGGGGGGCCCCCTTAGGCTGAAGGGGGGCCCCCTAGGCTGAAGGGGGGCCCCCTTAGGCTGACGGGGGCCCCTTTAAGTTGAGAGGGGCCCCCCTTAGGTTAAGGGGGGCCCCCCATAGATTATGGGGGGCCCCCTTATATTATGGGGGCCCCCGATTGATTATAGGGGGGCCCCATAGGGGTTAGAGGGGGGCCCCCCATTAGTTAAGGGGGCCCCCCTTTGTAAAGTATTTGCTGCTGAGTGTTTTGCTGTTTGTCTCTGGAGATTGAAAGGGAGACAGCCATTAGGGCTTTAATTTGTTTGTTTGTTTGTTTGTTTGTTTGTTTTTGTTTATTTGTCGCCTTCTCTGTTTGTCTCTTCTCTCTGCATTTATTTATTTATTTATTTAT